TCAGAGGTTCCAGGTTTGGTTTACAACCACTTGCAACTCCAGCTTCAGGCCATCTGATGCCCTCTTCCGACTCCATGGGAAATTGAGCTCACACATACACATACCAACCTCCACATACATATACGGAATTTAAAATAAGATGATTTCTTCAAAACATGAAAATTAAGATTTTCTGCCACTTCTAGCTGAAGAAAAGTTCCTATTGGACTGTTAAATTCCACGACTCCTTTTCATTGGCAGATAAGAATCATACCAAAATACCTACTGTCTGTGTAGATAAGAGTTTGATTGAAAAAAATTGAATATAGTATCAAAATACAAATATCTTTCTTTCATACACCTTTTAAAAATATTTTGAATGAATATAATACATAACAATTCCACACTTTTTTTTTTTTTTTTTTTTTTAGTTCTGGCATTTGAATATTGCTCTGTTACAAGCAAGGATCATCAGCCTGAGTTAAGAATTTCTCTTTGGTGGATTTTGGGCCAGCCAGGAAGCCTGTTGCCTATTAGCATTGCTCTAGTCAGGTGGCACCAGACTTCTTAGAGAGAGTCCCTGGCCATGAGAATGATACTTATGATACTTGCTTTCATTTTGTGTAAATAAATCCCTCTCATATTTTAAGTTACCAATAATGAAATGGCTTGAACGTCCCAAGAAATTCTGAGCCACAAGAAGCAAGCAGGCACGCGCCTCAGTTCACTACCCACGATTCAAACACGACAGACCTTTCTGCTCCTTTCTGTCATCTTTGCTTGACTTGAAGTTTTGTTGTCGTTTAATTTTATTCTGATTATATTTTTAAATTACACTGGCCTTGAAACTATAGAAAAATAATTTTGTAGAGTTTAAAAGTCAAAGTTCCTAAAAGCTAGCTTAAGTAAAACTAATCTCAGTGCTCATAATAGCTAACCTATTTCTCTTTCAGCTTGAATGCAAATGAATTCTTCCACTTTAGAACAGACCTGGAAATACTAACTTCAGCCACCACGCCTTTAATCACAGCACTCAGAAGGCAGAGGCAGGCAGATCTCTGAGTTTGAGGCCAGCCTGGTCTACAGAGTGAGTTCCGAGACAGCCAGAGCAGTTACACAGAGGAACCCTGTCTAAATAACCAACAAAAATACAAAAAATACAAAAAAAAAAAAAAAAAAAAAAAAAAAAAAAAAAACTCAAAAACTGAGCTGGAAATATCTTGTCTAAACAACATGAGTTTGCAGCTGCTGACCCTGCGGCCTACTCTTGCCAGGACCTGCCTCACTCTGCCTCCCTCACTTTGCCGGCCTTGCTCCGCTCCAGTCTCCTTTGACTTGTTTACAGCTCACTTAAATGTGAGGACCAACATAGTGATATTCAGATCCTGCTGCTGTGCTCAATGTAAAGAATAGAAAATGTAGATGAGGACTATTCTTTTCCTGCAGACCATTTATATAGGGATTACCATTGGGTTTTTAAAAGCATCTCATTCAAATAATTGGCCATTGAACACTTTTGGTTCAAGTTTCTCATCCCTCACTAAAAGGCCAGAAGTCATGGCTCTTGGGAAGTAGTAGGTATGTATCTTAAGAATTCGTAAGTAGGCAGAGCTGCATTTGAACTCTGACTCTACAGTTTACTTACCACCAAAGGTGACTCTGAATGAAGCCTTTGAGAGTCTTTCAAGTTATTACTCTAAGAAAAGGGAATCTTGTTTCTACCTTTTGGTGTCCTTTAAAGAGTAAACGAGTGAGGGTTATGAAGCATTGTGAGCAAAGCAAACATGCATGAATGGAGTTAGACTTTAGTTGTCTGTCATTTACATCTCGATTACATCTCAAAGCCTGAGCTGAAGATGTGTCCTTACCTTCTTCACATTTTCAAAGCCACTAGCTTTGAGACTGATCATGCTTGTTAATGGGGACCATGTAGCCCTGTGCATGCACTGCAGTTAAGGCTTCTTTAGGTCGGGATTAACTTCTGTGGAGAATGGCTTGCTGGTGTGATTTACACCAATCCCTGTCTCTAGAGTCTTTCATTGAGAGAAAGAGAGGAAGAGAGAGGAAGAGAGAGAGAGAGAGAGAGAGAGAGAGAGAGAGAGAGAGAGAGAGAGAGAAGGGGAGAGAGGGCTGAGCAAACTCCAGAAGACATTTCTGAGGGCTAAAGTTTAATAAATTACTTGCTATATATTATTTGAATATATTGAGTGTTGTGGGCTTCTGACAAATACTTATGTCTCATTTTTGCATTTTGGGGGTATGTTTACTTTTAAGCCAGAGTTCAGGGAATTATAGTTTTAATTTATGAATATATTCTCAATTAGAATACTTCTTATCAAATTCATAACAAAGTAATATGAAAGTCATCATACAATCTGGTATTCATAGGTATTGATTCTTTAGAATTATGGGCTATGATTGGCACACAGAGTCCAAAATTGTTTCGTTGTACTGGTTTCTTCTTACCTATAGACACTAAGTTCTAAGACCCCAGTATTTGTCTGATAGTTCCTGTGGAACAGAATTCTATATATGCCGTGATATATACTTTCAATAAAATTTGACCTATAAATTTGACACAGCAAGAATGTAACAATTCCAAAATGAAATAGGGCAAGTATAACAATATGTTATAGTAAAAAAGTTATTAAAATATCGATTTTTTAATATCTGGGAACTTTATATTTAATGTTTTTTGAGCTATGGTTGATTATAGGTAACAGAAATCCAGATAAAAAGCCATGAGGATAAAGAAATGATTCAGTGGTTAAGAGAACTTGCTTCTCTTTCAGAGGACCCAAGTTTGATTTCCAACACCCACATCATAACTGCCTGTAACTCTAGCCCCAGGGATTCTAATGTCCCTGGCACTCACATACATATACATGTAATTAAAACTAAAAATAAGTATTTTTTTAAAGCCATAAGCATTGCTATATGGGTCGTCACATCATAAGGAAGGGAGGGAAGGAGGTGAAGAAAGGGGGCAGGGAGAGGATGGGGGAGGGAGGGACATGGAGAAAATGGGACTACTGTGTATGGAATTGCATTTTGTTGGATGCATGGTTCCCATCACCATTAAATTGTGAGAAGTGTCATCATTCTAACTCTATTGAATCTACTGTTCCTCATAAAATCCTTAATACATATCCATGGAATGAACAAACAGTATGATTTTGGATGTATTGCCAACATCAGTACAGAAAAAAAGTAGACCTCCAGAAACCTAGCTGGACTCTATTTCCAACAGAGCCTTCTGTTGAAAAAGCATCTAATAACAGGCTTGTGAGTTTGAAATCTTTGTAGGACCTACAATATAATAAGCTCCAGGCCAAGCATTTGCATCCTAAATATGCTTGTTTTAAGACAAAGAAGCAGAGTTAAGCAAGTCTTAGTCCTTGGCCTGTAGATGATTTATATCTATGTATAAGATGTCATCAACATATGACTAACTCATGTCATTTCTGTGTGTTCAAAAGAGTCACATTCTAAACCCAATGTATAGAGTGGCAAGAAGGAAGAAAATGAACCTTTCTATTGTGGGCCATCTGTCAAGGCAAACTGCCTGTGACTGTGATAGCCATAATGTCCATTGCTAATTTTCCATTCTTGGCTATGCTATGTAGCATTAGGGAACTCTAAGCATGTCTCTACAACTGCCACTGGCAGTTTTAGAAGCATGTGTATTTGCAAGTGTGTTACCCAGTGCCTATGCAGGAACCCAAGTATGCAGAGTTCTCACTGCTGGCTCTGATTGTCCTTAACATGTGCCTTCTGTAACTGCAAGACCAGAGAAGATTGGTTTCTGTGAGAATGCTTTCTGCGGAAATTCCAGTCTTAAGACATTGCTCGTTGTCCTCAAGTGGCCTCCTTCCTGGTGAGAGTGTCACCCTCTGGAGGCAAATCTGTGCCCTGGGAGGAAGTGGTTACACACTAAGTGTGAGAGGCAGCACATATGGGCAGCATTTCCCTGCCATTGTCATTAATGCAGCTTAGCATTTTTGCTTTAATCCCTTCACACCTGCCTTTTCACTTCCCTAGGTAGATGCCAATTTAGTCACGAATCCGAAGTCAGCTTTCCAAGTCTTTTTGTTTTCCTGATACAGCAGAAAATGGTGGCAATATTGTTTATTATCAATGTGGAGTGTGGGTGATAGGAGTCTGTTATTTTGGCATTAGCTGATCATGTGCCTGATAGTTTACTGAGCTCTCCTGTGTATAAAACTCTGTGAAGCACATGGACAGAAGTATATAGGAGGAAGGACCTTTACCCTCAAGAAACTCATATCTCAAAAGGAATTTATAATCTTGGTTATAAACCACTTAAGATTGAATGGCATTTCTTCACATAACAGGGTCACTTCCTGCTTTCTTCCTTCCTTTCTTTTTTTCTTTCTTTGTTTTTTGTTTTTGTTTTGTTTTTTGTGTTTTTTGTTTTTTTGTTTGTTTTTGTTTTGTTTTGTTTTTGAGAAAGAATTTTTCTGTATAACCTTGGCTGTCCTGGAACTTACTCTGTAGATCAGGCTGGCCTCAAATTCACAGAGATCCTCCTGCCTCTGCCTTGAGAGTATTAGGTCCAAAAGCTTGTGCCACCATACCTGGAAAAGGCAAAATGGTTTTTGCTTTTTGTTTTTGTTTTTTTTTTTTGGGGGGGGGGTTGGGCTTTGGAATCTTTTCAAATCTATATATTAACAGAATAAACTTGAATAAATATAATAAAATAATATTCAGAATCTTCTAGTTATAGTCAAATGTGTTAATAATATGTCTCAAGCTGTATAAATTCCAAATACTATATAGATTTATGGAAATTCATATGAATTAAATCTCATTTTCTAAAAGGAAAAGAAGTATTGTAGGTCAATCACATTGACTGTAGACACTTTTATTCTGGAAAAACTTAAATGTTTGTAAATGTAAAATGCATACCAATTTCCTATGATTACAATTTTTACAAAAGATAAACCAAGAGGTATGTAAATTAAGTTACAACTACAAAAATTAATATGATGTAGATCCCTGAAGGATGTGCTATTTCTGGAAGTACTACAGTCCCAGGGTAATGTGTGGAGAGGTTGGGGTGAGCTCCTGGCCCATCTCCCTGCTTCCAAAATCCACTTAATATATTCTCCTTGGGTAGAGGATTATCACATTTAAACTGATACACACAGTTCTAGACTTATCTTTACCAGGATACTGAAAGGCAATAGAATTAATGCTTTATCTGGGATATTTTTTTCAGGAGTCAAATAATTGATGCTGAGACTATTACCAGTAGATAGAGACACTTGTCTTTTGTTTCTCCAGTGTCTGACTCAGTCCCATGCTTTGGTCTCTAATGGTCTGTGACATGCATCCTTGGCATTATCACAGTCACCATCTCTCCTTCACAACAGAAAGCTTACATGTTTAACTGATTCATTGGTTTAGCTCACCAGTTTATTTAGAATACCCCCAATGTTATAGTGAAAATGTTAGTGGATGCATCTCATGGTGAGTGAATCCTACCACTTTTTGCAAGATACTGCAGAGCTTTTGTTCATAGGATAAGGCATGCTGTCTTTCAGGCATTATTTAGCATAACTGCATAATATCCTTTCTAAATCCATCTATTCATTTTCTCCTTAGCCTGTGGAAACTTCTATTATTTAGCTTCTTTTAATAGTTTTCATGATATAAAACAATAGTGCAATAGAAGAGCTCTGTCTTTCCAGTCAGGTAGAGAATTGTATGGGAGCAAAAAATACATTGTCATACTTCACACCAAGGACCTGGTGGCCTAAGGACAGACAGCCCTGCTCACTAACACTTAGAAGAATCCCTGTCTAATTGCTAAGCACTTGTGTTATAACTGCTCGTCATGGGACATGAATTCACATGTCAGAAAAAAAGTCATGCATGTCATCTACAGTATCCAAAATATGCTTTTGTCATTTTCTTTGTTTTGATCACCAAAATGAGAAGACTTGAAACTTGCTGCAGAATCTGAGATTGTGTCTGCAGATTTCTAGTAGATGAAGGTAGCCGTTTGAGGAACACTTGTCTATAGGATATTGGGCAAATCAGTGATAACCAAAGAGCATTTCCTTCTTCATTCTTGGAAAGTATGTGCCATTTCTGAGACTCACACTGCTGAATTTCTCTTCCTTTCCCTTGGTTCATTCACTTAATCACCAGTAACTTTTTTTTGTTTTGTTTTGGTTTGTTTGTTTGTTTGTTTTTACATGAAAAAATACTTTAGAAAGGGCCTCTAGGCTAGGTGTATGTTTAACCTAAAACAGAGCTCAGTTATCTGAACAGAGCACTTTACATAGTTTTATATAATATTGGGAATTGCCTTTGATTTTCTATAGCACCATAAGTTCCGGGACAGGCAATTTTGTGGTTTTCTTTATTGGATTCCAAGTCTGTGGGAGACTGTGGCCAGCACAAACTAAGTGCTTGAGAATGCTTGAAGAAAAACCGTGTGACTAATAGAATAAGAAAGTATAGAGAGCTGGGAGTGGTGGCTCATACTTTAATCCCAGCACTCAGGGACCAGTCTTCTCGTTTTGGTGATCAAAACAATGAAAATGATAGAAGTCTATTTTGGATACTGGAGATGGCATGTATGACCGTTTACCACCATGTGACTGAGTTTGAGGTCAGTCTGATCTACAAAATGAGTTCCAGGAAAACCAGGACTATACAGAAAAGCCAAAAAGAGGAAAAAGAGAGACAGGGAAGTGGAAAGGAGAAGAGGGAGAGAGGGTGGAAGGAAGGAAAGAGAGAAAGAAAAGGAGGGAAGAAGGAAAAAGGGAGGGAGGGAGGGAGGAAAGAGAGAGAAAAGGAGGGAAGAACGAAGGAAGGAGGGAGGGAGGGTAAGGAGGAGGGAGGGAGGAAGGAAAGAAGGGAAGAAGGAAGAAAGGAAGGAAGGAAGGAAAGAAGGAAGGAACTGATTCAGAAGATACCAGATGGTGTGATCTAGTGCTCTCCCCTGGAAGCATGACCCATAGCTTGTCACTGTGACAAATACACTGTCATGGTAGAAAACTAGTCTCAGTCTGCCTTGGTATGCTCTCATCTGAAAAATCAAAACCAGTTGCTTTTATTGTCTAGTATTTAGCATATAGAAAGTGATGAGCAGTGTTCCTACGGACATCCTGCCTCTGATGCCAACCTCCTTTCTTCCCTTTGCTGTATCTTCCTTGTGACTCAGATGAGTGATATGATATTTTTATTTTTCACAGGATGTCTGCAGGCCATGCTGTGATCTACATCATAGCATCTGTATCATTGCTTTGTTCAATTCCAGTGAACACAGTTATAGAAAGTGTGAGCCTGTTTTTTGCTTTTGTTTCATTTGCCTTGCTTTATTGTGATGGTAGACTGAAGAGATAAAGTGCATATTTATTAGACATAGCTTCAAGATCAAAGCATATCATTATTGACCCTTCCACGGGACTTCTTTGGTTAAGGAATTGTTCATATTTTTACAAGATAAGTTTTTTTTTTTAAATTTAGACTTTTTAAAAAAGCTAATTCTTAGATCTTATAAAAGAATCCACTAGGTAATTGGCTTTGATTTTCATCATGTGCTTCCAAATATGCTGCTAACACTCGTGGGACACCATTTTCCTGGTTCTGATCTTCAAGGTGGAGTGACTTTACGGGGAACAGGACAGCACTGACTTGTGTTTTATTTTGTTGTTTTTGTTTGTTTTTCTTGTAGTGCTGCAGGGGGATGAACTCGGGGCCTCCTGCATGCTAGGCAAGGACTCTACTACCTCATTCCAGTCCCACAATGTTCTTCTCAAAAGCAAAGGCTGTGTTTGTTGGGGATTTGTATTCCTAAAGTTTTCATTACACAGTGCCATTTAATAGGTACCCAAGATGCTATGGCTGTGATAGAATATGTGGTTATCCAATAAGTTACATCCCAAAGCCTGACATACCCATTTGCACTGTTCCCTTGACTAAACAGGGAGAAGATCCAGTTTATCCGAACTGAAGGGACTCCTGGATTGGTGAGGCTTTCCAGTGACGCAGACCTCGTCATGTTACTAAGGTATGGGACACTAGGACTTCAGGGAAGTATCTGCTGTCAGATACTTGGAACATTTTAGAAAGTCGTATGTGAGTGTTGATAGCCTAAAAAATGTCTCCTTTCTCCTCAGTCTTAAAGAAATCATCACATTGGAAGACATGGGATGCAGCTTTCACAATAGTTTGTTTCAGATTATATCTGCTAACCCCCAGACTTGCTTACTCATGCTTGTACACCACTTGGAAAGGGAAAGATTATAAAGACAAACAAATCAAAACTCTCTCAATGGGTGAAACAAGAGGTGGCCATATAAGTTTGTGCAGCGCACCCCTCAGCGCAGAGCAGAGCAGAGCAGAGGTTGTGTCTATATTTTCTTTCCACTTTTTTCTTCCTCAAAATGTGCTTTGTCTCTTTTTGCTAGATTTTAGGCATAGCTTGTTTACTTTATGGTTTTGAGAGTTTATGTTTGGGAAATGAAAAGGTTGACGTTTGGTCAATGGTTCTGCCAATTTGATGGAGCTTCATGGAACTGACCCATTGCACTTTCTTTCATGGTGGTTAAATTGAGTTTGGTTTTAAATTTTAGAATACTTTGGAAGGGCAACTGGAACTTTCTCGTGTTTTATATCATCCCTCAAGCACAGGCAAATCACAACTAAGCTGGGAAACTGCCCTGGAGGTCTTCCTAGGACCAAGGGCAACAATGATGTGCTGGCCACTCAGGCAGTGTGTGCCTTGTCCCCTGAGTGCTAAGGGCCACAAGGTGTTGTGTTTTCTTATTTGTTTGTTTTGCTTTGAGTTTTTTTTTCCTATTTATTTTGACCCTGACCCTGAGTCTCTCCCTCAGGATTTGTTGCCATATTTCTTGTTACTTGTTTGTTGTTGAAGCAAGATTCCAAAGGTACAGTCACTTCCCAAAACTGTCTTCACTCAACTCTAAAGACCCTTAGGGACAGAGTGTCACTTCTCAATCTAGCAGGAACCCTTTACACTGAGGTATCCTGAACTAGTTCTGAAAATAGTATAGTGTTCCAGATAGTCACAAAGATTGTTGCTCTATTAATGGCAGAAAATGATGTCTCTGTCAAAGTGTACACTTTTGTTATAAGAATAAATTAATAAAAAACAGAAGACTTGCACCTCTTAAAAGTTCAGCAGCAGGAAAGACAGACAAGGAACCAAGCAACTTAAGACAATACAGGCTTTTATTCGGGACAAAAAAGATCTCTGGTGGGGAATCTCTAAGAACGAGAGCCCCCGTTCGCACACAAGCTGGGCTGGTTACAGGGCAGAAAGGGAAATGGGGAAGGAGGTTGAAAAGCTTCCCTTTGGCCCGAAATTGGCCATTACTAGGAGTGAACAAAGAATGCTGAGTAGTAAGTGAAGAATGTCAGGTGACAGATAAACATTATCAGGGTTTCTGCAGGAGGCAGAGGCAGAGGCAGGAATTAAGAAAATATGTATGGAATTTGGATTACTGTGGTCTCACTGACACCAAACCAAAAGGTTTTCAAAATGGTGTGACCATGGCTAACAGTCTTATTCTCTATTTGTCTTTAATTAAATAATCTTTAGATAACATAGTCTTAAATATTTTAGTTTTATTGCTAAAATATTTGTCCCTTATTAAAGATCATAGTCTACATGAATTTATTATATGCTACATGGTTGAATTTAGAAGTATTTAAAAATCTCACAAATAAAGAGCAAGACTACATCATCTTTTGCTTGAGAAAATAAGCATGTTCACCGACACTAAAGGGCTTTTGAAGAAGTTGAAGAATTTATTTACACATAATAATTTCATAGTTATGACATGTTATGCACTCAATTCTAGACCATCATTTCATTTGAGTAATCAAGTGTATCTATTAAGAGTACACAAGGGTACAATATACTATCTATACTTACCTAATAAATAATATTTACTATTTATTAGAAATATGGGGCGTCTACTCACATTCTCAGTTCTTTATACACTTAAGAGTGTACTTGCTGCACACTTCCTGAGCAAATCTGTGTCTCTTAGGGTCTTATTTCTTAGAGAGGAGAATCAGTCCTGGTATAAATGTTCTTGATTGTCACTAAGCCACAGTGTGGGACATTACTCAAATCAAAGTGAACCCATTAAAGGTGTTTTTCTATTACTGTTATAAGATATAAAAATTAAATGACTTTGTCAAATTCGTCA